CCCCCCCAAAACCGCGGGAATTTCGGGAATGTCCCCCCAAAACCGCGGGAATTTCGGGAATGATCCCCCCAAAACCGCGGGAATTTCGGGAAAAACCGCGGGAATTTCGGGAATGTCCCCCCAAAACCGCGGGAATTTCGGGAATGTCCCCCCAAAACCGCGGGAATTTCGGGAATGATCCCCCCAAAACCGCGGGAATTTCGGGAAAAACCGCGGGAATTTCGGGAATGTCCCCCCAAAACCGCGGGAATTTCGGGAATGTCCCCCCAAAACCGCGGGAATTTCGGGAATGTCCCCCCCAAAACCGCGGGAATTTCGGGAATGTCCCCCCAAAACCGCGGGAAATCTCCCAGATTCCAGCGCCCCTCCCCCACCCCCAATGAACCCCAAATTGGGGGAGGGGAAAGAGGGGACGGAATTTTGGGGAAAAAATCTCCAAAAATCGCCAAAATTCCCAAATTCCGGAGTTTTATCCCCTAAAAAACCCCGAAAATTCCAAAGGGGGATCCCGGAATTCCAAAATCTCATTAATTAATGCAGAAAAATCGATTATTTGTGCCAAAATCTCATTAATTAATGAGGAAAAATTGATTATTTGTGCTCAAATCTCACTAATTAGCTTTTGAAATCGAAAATTTGTTATCAAAATCCGGAATTTGTTATCAAAAATCGGAATTTTGTTCTCAAAAATCGGGAATTTCATATCAAAAATGGGGATTTTTTATTAAAAATCGGGAATTTGATATCAAAAATCAGAATTTTGTTATAAAAATCGGGTTTTTTTTATCAAAATTCGGGATTTTGTTTTCAAAAATCTTAAATTTGATATCAAAAATGGGAATTTGTTATAAAAAATCGGGAATTTGTTATCAAAAATGGGGAATTTGATATCAAAATTCGGGAATTTGATATAAAAAATGGGGAATTTGTTATCAAAATCAGGAATTTTTTATCAAAAATGGGGAATTTGATATCAAAAATCGGGAATTTGATATCAAAAATGGGGAATTTGTTATTAAAACCGGGAATTTGTTATCAAAATCAGGAATTTTTTATCAAAAATGGGGAATTTGATATCAAAAATCGGGAATTTGATATCAAAAATGGGGAATTTGTTATTAAAACCGGGAATTTGTTATCAAAATCAGGAATTTTTTATCAAAAATGGGGAATTTGATATCAAAAATCGGGAATTTGATATCAAAAATGGGGAATTTGTTATTAAAACCGGGAATTTGTTATCAAAATCAGGAATTTTTTATCAAAAATGGGGAATTTGATATCAAAAATCGGGAATTTGATACCAAAAATCAGAATTTTGTTATACAAAATCAAAATTTTGCTATAAAAATCGGGAATTTTTTATCAAAATCCGGGATTTTTTTATCAAAAATGGGGAATTTGTTATCGAAAATGGGAATGTTGTTATCAAAATCCCTCTCAAGTGGGGAAAATTCCGATTTTTATCTCAAAATTCCTCATTTTTTGGGATAAAAACCGGGAAAATCCCATGGAAAATCCTCTCGTCGTTCAAAAATCCCGGTTTTTATATCAA